GACAACATGCTTTTTAAAGTAGTTTCAAGAAAGTCCATTCACATCTTACAGAAAGCAAGAGAAACTCTCTTTTTGCTACTATGCAGATAAATGCTGCTCATGGTCCAAAGTATAATCAGTAGATTATACTTTATGTTATCTAGTCAATGCAATTTCTGCTGACCTGGATTTCAGGTAAAGAGTCAAAGTCATGCATACCAAAATAGATAATGTGTACAAAAACACCTCCTATACCTCCCATAGAACTCCCAACAGCTTGTCTGTCTTGATTGCAGACCTCCAGGCATGGCCTTCATACTCTTCACATTTGAATTGCATATCTCAATTTCTTTTGCATTAGAGCATTAATGATGGGTAATATGTTCTTCACAGCTTTTTCAGCCTTTTGGTTCATGCACTGAGAAGCACTTCTGATATCAATCCCATAAATGATACCAGGGTCATTTGACTGCCGCCATCACTTAGGTAAAGTAAGTTTGCACATTAGATGTACCATGGTGGAGCCCCAGACTTGCCTGCCCTCATCAAGGGAGGATGGTGTCAGACAGGGGTTTCAGACCCATGGGTGTCATGAGTGGGACTAAAAGGATTTTTTGAGGTATTAACCAAATCTCTGCACCTGTTTGACACTTACTAATGAAAATCAAAGTTGCAGGATTTGTGTTTATAAAGGGATCCCTAAAATAGTATAAAACTTGGTTGAAAATGACATGTGGGGATATTGGACCTTACTTGTCCAAGCAGGACTATCTTTAGAGCTGGATCACCTTTCTCAAAACCTTGCAAATTGATAATCTCCAAGGGACAGAAATCTTAGAATAGACTTTCCTAACTTCTAGGCTACCCTACTAGTAAAAAATTTGTTTTTTACTATACCCAAACTGAGCTTTCCAAGAAACAGTTTGTGCCCATCATCTCCTTTTAGCTCATCTGGCATTATAAAGACATTGTCTCTGACATCTTTGCAAGCATCTTTAAAACAGTTTCAGGAACTGTATGATTTACAATAAGCCAAAATCCTGAGGAGTTATATATAATTTCCCATCCAAAAAGATGGAAAGAAAAGAAAGAAATTCTAAGTTTGGAAAGATGCATCTTTACTTTTAAAGATAATTACACTGATGAAATTTTTGTTCAGAGGGGTAGCTGCAACACCATATAGAGATTCCTTTGTCTCATTACATTAAAACTAATTAGAGTTATATAACTACAGCTAAAAATAGAGAAATATTATTTCTTAAATTTTGGCTTTCATTACAGGTTGATATTATATTTATTTTATTCACAGCAATCATATGTTATGCAAGCTAACATATGATAAGGAATATTTTCAGAGTGTGCTCTAGCTAATAGCATGTTCCTGAGCAAAGGGAATTAAGGTGTAAAATTGAGGCCAAAGTTAAAAGAAAGTGACTGCTCTGAATGCTATTTAAAGGAATTTAGAGAAATGAAGGCAACTCAACATTTCAGATTGCTGAGTGCTGAGGATGCTATTTTTGGTGTGCTCTGGTGAATTGGTGTGAAACTCATGGCAGCTGATACTAATTGTAATGAAAAGATACTCGTAAAGTGGTGTGGGGTACAGCTGTGTATGCAGTTCACTGTCTGAATGTATGGAGAAGAGTTGCCTCAGGGAAAGTATGAAGTAAACGCTGTTCATGAAGAATAAAAATACTCAGCCCTTGGAAGGCAGATGAATGACCTGAGCGAGTTAAATATATATAGCAGTATACAAATAACTGTTTTAAAAAAATGGTCGTTGCTATTTTCAGACTTGAAAGCCACAAAGTATTATGGCATTAAGCCATTTGAACATACATCCAGATCTAAGATCTTTACTTGATTTTTCTTAAACAGATTTCTTTTATAGGTTTTGCTTGAATAGAATGAACAGTTATAACTTAGATTTCCTGAACTCTTAAATGTTATTATTTGTTTTATCAGGTTTTGATTGGGATTTTTTGCTTATTACCTTTGGCACATATTTCAACAAGTGCTAGTAGAGTCAAATTTCCATGTATTTTGAGCCCCAAAATGGAATTATTTAAATTTTATTAGAATTTTCATTTGTACCCTGCTGCAAATCTTAAAAGTGAAATATAAGATGTTGTTTTTTTTAAAAGCCCTATGGTCCTGTAAATTCTGCAGCTACAGTAATGAAAGTAATGATTATCTATTATTACAGCTTACTTTCATGACGATGATTTCTCTTAAAATCACAGTATGAAATCTGTGCATAGTTTAAACTAGGTCTCATAAGATCTAAGAACACATTCAGACAAAATGTGCTTAAACAAGAGGAAAATTGAAAAGGATGCATCACTTGCCTAAATCTTACATTTCCAGTAATAGCAAAGCCCAGCTGAAAATCACAGCAAAATAATAATTTGTAATTTGAGGCTGGAGAATACTCTTAGTGGAGTAGAACCTGCCTGAGCCCATCTGAGATGAACTTTAGGTGGTTTGGTTTTTTAATGAGGTAAAGGCCTGTTTGGTTATGTATGATAAGAAATCTCAACTTGCAGATTTGGGTTGAGGTGGAGGAAATTAAGCTAGTCCTACCTGGTTGAGCTAAAGTATTGAAAATCTTGATGGTCTCTGTGAGAAGACACTGTTCATTTTCTAGAATATGTAACCCTGGAAGGTCCTCTAGGCTCCTGCCCATAGTAGTATAGATATTAAAAAAAAAAAAGCTGAAATACTGCTGCTGTAGAAACTGAAGCAGTATCTTGTTATCTCACAATTCAGTTGTTGTTTTATTGTGTCACCTGCATAGTTTCCAATTACTCTAGCAGATTTTGTGTGTTAGGAAAACTTAGTTTGATGCAGAACAATTCAAGAACTTCTAAACATAGGTATTTTTCATGAACAAATTTGTTTGTCCAGGCAGCAAGTCTGACACAACCCAAACTGGGTTGCCTTGCATATATGTTCTTCCATGTTGGTTGGGGGTCTTTTCTTTGGTTCATTGGTTGGGATTTTTGGTTGGTGGTAATGGTAGTGTTTTTATTCACTTTGATGGTTTAATCTCTTAAATTATCCTAAAGGCGATTTTCCAGTGGTGGTTAGTACCACATCTGCAATCTGAAAAAAGATGTATTGTACAGGATTTTTCCTAATCAAGTTCTAACAAGAGAGAAATTTTTTAATCAAATCATGCACTTCATAAATTATCTGAGAAGAATAAAACATGCTGATTCCTGTGCATATCCCAGAATGGAGTGGGTGGGGAAACACAGTCAAGCTTCTAGTCTGTGAGAAAGAACAATGAATTGCAAAAGAGGGATCAAAGGATAAGCTTAAGAGTGTTACTGCTGTAGCAAAAATAAGCTTAACTTTATTTGATAGATATTGTTTGGGGAGTTATTTTAATAAACGTAAGTAAATATAATTACGTTATATAAATGCTGTTATAACTTTATTCTCTTCTTTGATTTTTGAATAGAAGTGCTCTATGTATTTGTAACTTGTGGTCTAAAAGGACAAGGAGCTCTGAATCACACTGGGACCCTCTTTACTGGTATTGCTAACACAGTTGGATTCCTGTACTGTAAAGGTGGTAAAGATGAAGGAGCTACAAATGACTAGGCTTAAGGAACAGGAAGGTAAAAAGGTACAGCCAAGTTGGGTAAGAATATCTTGCACGTTCCCTCTGGATTATTGCAAGGGCCTACTATAGCTGACTAGGAAAGATAAATTTGATCACTTTAAAAGCATAGTGCTTTTCAGTGTCTGCTCAAACTCAGCACAGTAGGTATTTGGATGTGTTCAGTTTACCTGAGCTTTGAAGTCTCTTCTTCAAAAGCAGTGAATTGCAGACTGCAATTTTTATTTAAATTAAATATTGAATTTATTTTAAAATTTTTATAGATTCATTTATATTAATATAAATTTAAATATAAAATATTTATAGAATTAATTTAAGGATTAAATTAAATTATTTGTTTTAATATTAAAAATATTTTAAAATATTTCTCTGCTTACATAGTTTAATAGCCCATTTCATATGGCTTTGACAATGCTGAGAAATCCTGCTGGAAAATGTAACACTTCAGGATCTGTATTCTGTATAACAAGACAGAGTTTATTACTTGTCATGTCTGATACAGAACACAAAGACTGGGAGACGGAAAGAGTAAAAGCTGTGTTTTCTTCAGCAGTAACTGTTCCTGGCTGTAATTCCTTTCCTCTGAAGGCCGGATATCCTCCTTTGTTTGACAGCATCTCAAACTTGCTGATGGAGGGCAGCTTCTGATATTTGCTGCCTGTGTAGGCAGCAGGTCTTTTTGGGCTATGACCTGGGGCATGAGTCATTCTGGATGTGATCAGGATGCAAAAGTGGCTGAAATGCAAAGTAAGGGTTCTTTAGAATTGCTACTGTGAGTGTGCTCCAAAAGGTGGAAGTTACAGAAAGAAATGCATAAACTTTGAAGATCCAGGTCAGTTTTCCAGTATTCACTGGAGTTGACACAGTGACATGGGAATTTTGTTAGTTTTGTCTTAAAATTAAAGAATAGTCTTAAAATGCAATACCACTGTATTGCAGATTGTTAGCTCTAGGGCAAGACCCAAGAAAACATAATCTTTGCCCATTCCAATTTTGATAAAAATAACGAGGGGAATTAATACTGAGAGTTCAGTACAGCATGTTTCAGGATGGGTATATTCCCAGTTAACTGAGTATGCATCTCTAGTGGATCTCTGAGATCCACTGTAGACTAGAAGCAATCAGCACTCTCTAATCTGTGTCAATTTCAGGTTGAAAGATTCTCAGAATATGTTGGTTTCCATAGGGCTGTGGTCAATAAGTCCACTGATTCTTGCAGGTATCTGCTCAATAAAGGGTAGGCTTTCTGCCATGCCATCTGTAAGTGGAAGAACTTCTTGTTTTCTGAAAAAAGAAAAGTCCATTTTCATGTGATATGATTCTTAGAAATTAAAGCAGTTGGATCAGCTTTACAGATTTAGCCTGAGTCATGAGGAATATGTGCCTGACAAAACAGAGGAGAGCTGTGAAGTCAATTTAATTTGGCACCTATGAAATTTTGTTTACAAATCTTGAGCACAATAATTTGGTTAAACAAACCCTGCAAAACAAAATTTATGCCATGCAGAATGAGGTGTGTAATTTTCATTCTGAGAAGAAATGCTTTAAAAATGAGTAATTTAAATTATGGCTGTCAGTAATTTTTAAGATGAAAGCATACCATTTTCTAGTAGCTTGTATATTCTTCTTATAATAGATAATTTGGTTGGTATTTGAGGTCCTCTATGTCCTACATGTCAGAGAGACTTTATTTGTCATGATGCAGAATATTCATGCATTCAGCTAAACCAACATTTCTCCACAAATTTCATCAAGTATGTGATGTATAAAGTGGAAACTTAAGTATTAAAGCTATATAAATGAAATGTAGGGTATGTAGAATAATTATGAAGCTCTCAGATGTGTAATGGTTCAATACTAGCTTGTAGCAGTAAAAATACAATTTATCCCACAATATTTTACTTGAGTAAATTTTAGAGATTCTGACTTGTCTACATTACTTGAGTACCAGTGATTTTCAATGTGTGTTGGCTCCTAGTTTTATAAGTTGTATATCATAACTGGGTAAGTGCTAAAGATCATAAGATACACAGAGCTTTGGATGTAAGCGGTTCTGGAATTAATCACTCTGGTCATTTGGAGAATTTTGCTTATGATACAGTCTCTAGTTATGTGGTTCAATATAGGCAAATGCTAAAAGCTAGATTATAAGAGATGAATGATTTAACACTTCTGTAAAAATAATAGGCTCAGATTCTCCTGAAACTCTAACCTGAAACTTGCAATTAATGATTGACAAATCAGTAATATTGTCATTCCTGAGGCCATAACAACTCACTACTCATACTCTATTCTTGACTAGAAGTATTTACCTTAGGTTTCTAGGGACTTGCTAGCCACAACGCTTGTAAACTAAAGCAGGAGTTTGAATTTTTAAGTTCTTAACTCATCTTCAAATTAATGTTGACCCTTGTGTAATTTGGACATTTCCTGCTTCATATACCTTCAAAAAATGTTACCTAAAGTTTCATATTAGCAAACTTTAAATTCCTGACTCAAAACACTTTCTTGCAGTTCTCAGTGAACTGCACCCAGTACAAGCAACTACTTTTTTTTTCAAAACACCTTCACAGACTTTTTCCCCATAACAGTCTAACAAATCTTAGTGCACACACAGGCTTTATGGAAGAAGGTAATATATTGAAATTGGGCTCCTATAATTTAAATATCACTGTCAACTAGAGGCTGCATTAAAAGTGAGGTCTGAATTTCGCATTTGTCAGCATAGTAACAGTAACTTATATGTGTTTCGATATATATGATATTAGCTACAGATAACACTGTACTTCCCTGCACAGTCCATCTAAATATTTTAAATCTGGAAAACCTAGAAGCAGATGAGTAACTGTGTGAAGCCATTTTTTAGCCTCATATTTTTTCCTAAGGTTCACCTTGCTGGTCTTTCTCATTCTTGTATTGATTGCTGTAGTAGCAGAAAATATTTGTAGCCACAAAAATAGCAAAATTATCTGAATTGAACTTCTCTGCATTTTTCAGAGTCAAATCAGATCATGTAATTGCTTTTTAAACTTCCTTCTCAGTTGTTTCCTGTCACACTTGATTTTGCAGTGGGTTCAGAACAGACCACTGCAGTTTCCTAGAGTTGTCCTACAAAGTTGATTTGAGGCCATAGTCTATTGCTTGTCAGAGTAAATCTTAGTAATGATTGCTTCATGTTTGCATTTGCCAAATGTGGTGAAACTCCACTGAAGCTTTTTTGCCTTTATGTACATTATTTATATTTATTATAATATATATATATTATATGTATAAATATCTATAATATGTATATTTATAATTATAGATGTTTGCAAATATGGTCTTCCATTTAAGATCTCTGAAAGTCAGGTTTTGTCTGTTAATTCCCTAAACAGTGTGTTCAGTCCTCTTCCAGCCTCTGCACTGTAAGAGGTCACAGATAAGACCTGAGAAAAGTACTTGATGAGAAAATCTCTTTAGACTCTTCACACTGCCATCAGCATTTAATGTTTCTTAATCCCTCCCACTTCTAATTTACTTCACATGCTCAATGAAAACACTTATCATAAAAACTAATACCGCTGCAAGGATTTTGCATATGTACAGAAAACAGAATTTAGCTGTAAAGTAGTCAACTTAATTGTAATTTTGACAAAACTAAGTGGTAACCAAGATCTCAAGACAAAAGTACATTACAGCCATGATACTTTTGTTTGCTCATATACTATCATTTGAGGCTATTTAAAAGAAATATTTTAGTTCCAAAGAAATACATGCAATGAATATGAGACTAAGGTACCCTCCTCTAAGTCTATGAACATTAAAAGTTATGTGTCTCTCTATACTTTTATAATATTCAAAATACTCTTGTGCAAATATTCAAAATACTCTTGACATCCAGTCCATAAGCAATTCAGACTACTTGTCACATAGTTCTCCAATTATCAGAATCTTTACATGGTTAGAAAATCTGCAGTCGGGTAGAACATTTGCAGGCCAGATGATCAGTTTTTAAATTCTTGTTCTGAGATAGGAGTTGCTCTATGTAGATGTTATAGAAATCTTATTCTCACCTTTTAAACGATTTGAGAAAAAAATGTAGTATTTTATGTTCTGAATTCTGGTAATCTTAGTTTTTAGCTTGTCCTATCTCACTTGAAGATTCTTGATATTGATCTAATGGTCATTTTTCATTTGTCATTTGTCATTAGGATCAGAACAAGTTGTCCCTAGGAGTTATGTGGCTTGAGAAATTATTTAATTTATTCTATTTTCTATGATTTTGTTCTATTTGAGGTGTGTTGAGCGTGATAAAATGGAGTAGTGTTTTCCAGATGTCTTTAAAAGGTTATTCAAATAAAAAAAAAAAACAAAACAAGGAATTATCATCTTGTTAATCCATAAATCTCATGCTTCGTAATGGCAAATCATCAGGACTAACCAAGAAAGATGCAGCTTCTGATGTTGGGATGCCATATATAGGATTGTTCTGTCACTTACTCAAGAAGGCTTTATGTCAATTTTCCAACATGTAGATCCCCCAAATTGTGACATGTCAAAGATGAAAAAAAAATATTTTCTTATTTCTTTCCTTGGTTAGGGTGATCTATCTGCCTTTCTGATGTGTTGGGTATAGATGAATAGGCCTGGAAAATAAGAAAAGGACAGAGAAGGCTCTTTCTTATCTCTTAGATTCTTACAGGAGAATGCTGGAAGGATAAAACAATGTGAAAATCAGTGAGTCACAATCTATAATTTAAACATAATTCACCATGACTCATTCATGAAATGCTTTTGCAGTTTCATGTGACAAAACAATAACCATAAGCATAATCATCACTGCCTACTCAATCTTTTCTTTACAGCTATGCAATTCCGTGATTCAAATGATTTTGGAGAGTCTTAGCTGATAAAAATCATCACAAAACCATCAGAAGCAAAACAACTCGATGACTTAGAGCAGCTGTGTGGTCATACTTTTTTAAGGGTTCAGCTGGCACAAGCAGCTTCAGTTGTTACAGACCTCTTTCCACTCCTTATGCAAGAAGGTGGCGAGTGTAAGTGTTCTGGGATGGGCAGCCTAATCCAGACTACTCTCTTAAAACCTAGCTCTGTGCTTCCAGAAGATAACAGACCTCCTGTAGTGTTGCTCAGTATTGCAACCACAGTTTTCCTTATATTCCAGAGGCAAATTTGCCCTAGAATAAGATCTGTGGGTCTGCCTGCTAATAGATGTTGTGGCTTCATTGAGGTCTGTAGAATAAATAGCAGTTATACAGCTCTTTTAATGAGTGTGTCCCTTATTATAATGTCTTGATTTGGTGTTTCATGCCTTCCATGTTTCTTGCATGACCTAGCTTAAAATACTAAAAGAAAACTTAAAAAGCTGGATAAACAGGCATTTAATACAAGGAGTGTTGGAAGACATCAAATAATTATATCAATGTTTCCACTAAATTAGAGGAGCTACAGCACATTACTGCATTACATGCTTTCAAGTAAAAAGGAATGTAGGAAAAAAATATGGAATATTAATAAAAATCCAGTTTTCCAGAAGAATCCAAGGTAAAGAAGGACTTCTGCAACCGTGAAGTGGCTTATTTTGTTACCGGAGTGGGAAGATATAACATTTTTCTCATTACTACCATAAATCCAAAATGCTAGACACTGGACAGAGCCTTCTCAATAGTTTCTAGAAGCAGTGTCCTTGTAAAGGAAATTTGCATACTGTGTCTCGGATTAGCAATCTGATTTATTCGATCATTGAAACCAATAAATTGCAATATATTAAATGGCACGTAATCAATCATGGTTCTCAACATCTGTCATATTAAAAATTTCATCAATTATACAAAGTGGCCTTCCCAAAAGGAGATTTTTCAATTGACACTGAATGATAAAATGAATATAACTTTAAAGATGGATTTTTTTTCTTCTAGCAGTTTCGTGTGACCTTTCAAATTTCTTTACAAGGTCTTTGGCAAGTTAACTTTGCATGTTAAATTTGTTCTGTGTACCAAAAAGTGGACAGAAAATATGTCTCTCTACTTCTTCTGAATAAAATGTGTTGCTAAATAATACAGTGAGGCCTGGGATTGGTGTCCTTGGTTGAGGGCTTTGGTGATATTGCATCTTTCATAATCCAGTTCAAAGCAGAATTTCCTTCAAAATGTCCCATAAACTTTTAAAGTACATTTAGTCTCATATCTGACGAGCATAACTTAATTCATTAGACTGCATTTTTATGTATTTATTGTTGTTTATAACATTATCTATTTAGCTAGTTGTATAATGAGACATTAAGAGGAGACAAATATGTTAAACAAAGTGGTATCAAAAATTTACCATTTAAACATTAAAATGTATTCCAGGCCTTAAACGTAATATGCCATCAGAATATAAAATAAACCTAATTTTCCATCATTAACTAAAAGGGATCCTAGAAAATTGTCTAGTACTCCCATACCAAACACCAGCACTAATTCGTAATTCTCTCAGTATCTGTGAAGTGTATATGTAAGTATATATATCTGTGGTATTTAAGATAATTATGGGTATTCCATTACATCCACAGGCAGTCCATGGCTGAAGTCTGTCTTGTAAGAAGCATTTCTAATATCTAGCCTGAATATTTTTAACTAAAATCCATTATTACTTTTTGTCCTCCTGTGACCATGAACTGATTGCTTCCTGTCTTTAGATACATAAAAACATTCCAAAAGAGGCTTATGTAAGCTTTGAATAGCCCAGGATAACTAATCTAAAGAAGGGAACAATCTTTCATATAGGATCTGCTTTGGCCCCTGATCATTCTTCCTACTTTTCTCCTGTTCTGTAAAGTTGATCTACACTTTTGAAAATTACTATGAAGGTCTGACTGTTACTGGGTAAAACACATAGGTAAACTTGTGTATATTTCAGATAGTGATTATGGTCTTTTCACTTTGGCAATTTTATTTTTAAAAGAAATTAAAAGAGAAATCGCTTTTTTATGTGTGTGTAATATACTTATTCTGATACATTTCTCCAGCTTAAAAAAAAAAAAAAATGCTCAAGGTATATTGTATTATACATTACCTATTATTATATAATTAATATGTATAATATATTGTGAAATTAATATGTAGCAAATATTCTATATATTATATATCACATTAATACAAGTGATCAGTGTAAAATAATAATTTTCAGATCTATAATTTCAAAGAAAAATGTAAATAAACTTTTTTATGTTTTTTGGGTTTGTTTTTTTTTTACTTTTTTATTTTTTTTTTTATTATAAAGTCTTGGTTATGCCATCTTTATGGATTGTTTTAAATACTTTAGTTCTGAAAGGTTTTATGGAGACCGTGCCACAAGAAATGCAAGTGTAGATTACATATTTTCCTGCAATTTAAGTCATCCTATAACTACTTGACATCTTGATCATGAGAACTATATAAATTGTTTTTCTCTAAATCCTTCTTCATTTCATCTAGTTTATTTGTGCTGCTTCCACCTCAGCAGTTTTGCAGTGTCAGATATGTGGTATCAAATCTCCAGAGGAAACACAAAGGTTAGTCCTGGAAAAGATGACATTCCTGAAGGAAAGAGAAAATAAGCACAAGGTTTTCTGGGGTGCAGTAGGTTAATTGGTGTCTCTGAAAATTAGGCTGTAAGTGGGTATTGTTTCAGTTAGAAAATAGATTGGGTTTATGAGGCAGTTCTTTTTATATGATTGAATTAACTCTAAGCTTCTTTATGAGCTATTTATATTGATGTCCAAATCTTCTGCTAGCAAAAGGAAAATACTTTCTGAGGATGTAATTAATTTGTTTTAATCTATTCTGTAGCTTAAATTGAAAGAGGGCATAAGCATCCCACTTGAATAGCTTGCCAAGACACCATCTGATTTGATTAATAGTCCTCTGGATCAAATGTCAGCTTTCTTCCTAAATAAAATAAATTTAAATTGCTATCTTAATATAGAAATACGAAATATATGTAGTGTGCTTCAATATGACCCCTTAGGTGCAACTTGCAGTAACACGAATGAAAGCTCCCAGTTGTTTTAAGTTCAACCATAAGGCAGTGCCTTAGCAGTGCAATCAGTTTGTCCTAGATTCCTTCCAGCATAGTTCAGGATGCTCTCTGACAAGCATATGTAATCCTCTGAGAAGCCCTGTGTTGTGAAGTTCTCTTTTAGATGAAATTTTAAATAGATTAGGCTTTTTTTAATTTTTTTTTCCTTAGGTTTAATTTCCAGGACTTTACATGCATAAAAACAGAAATTATGTCAGAAAACATTAATATTCTGTTACTTTCACAAAGTTTTCATTTTATGTACCTGTAATATACACATCTGTGTATGTTAGAGTTGTCATGCAGCTTTTTCTGAGGGAAAAATAAAATACTGAAGCTGTCACTTAAACAACTGAAAGAGTTAGGGTTTGCTTGTCTATATGAAGCTTTAGAATTTGAATATTCTTCCTGGATATTACAACAACTGTAGGGGGTTGTCTTCTTTATTTGAGAACAGGTTGCCACTTCTTATAAGAGTTGATTGGACTTTTTAAGTTTTTCTTCTCCACCAGTTAATGTTACTGTTACTTGATGTTAGTCATCATATAATCATTGATAAATTATCTTTTGTATTCCTGAAATACCTCACCCTGTAGTGTAGTCTGGCCAGCAAAACTTCAGTTCATAGAACATACTGTCTACAGAAAGCACTAGTCTTCTTTCATTTTGTTTAAAAATCTAATTACTGGGATAGTCCCATTTGAAATTTCAAGGGTTATTTTTGATTTTTGCCACTCTAGTCACCATCAGAATCATAACTGGAGTCACTGTGCATATAGCACATTTTAAATCTGGAATATCTGGTAATGAGGTGAGGCTGCCCCAGAGCTGGAGCAGAGCAGAGCAGAACAGAGCAGAGCAGAGCAGAGCAGAGCAGGACAATCCCCTCCCTTGCCCAGCTGGTGATGCTGTCCCCGATGCCCCCAGGACACACTTGGCCCTCCTGGCTGCCAGGGCACTGCTGGCTCATGTTCAACTTGAACCCCAGAACCCCAGGGCCCTTTCCATGGCACTGCTCTCCAGCCTTTCATTCCCCAGTCTGTCTGTACAGCCATCCAGCCCCATCCTGGTGCAGAATTTGGCACCAGCCCTTGTGGAACTTCATACGGTTGGCAATTGCACAGCCCTCTGCTGTGTTGAGGTCTCTGTGCAGGGCCTCCCTACACCTGAGGGAGTCAACAGCTCCTTCCAGTGTTGTATTGTCTGTGAACTTGCTCATTATCCCTTCCAGGCTACATCCAAGTAATTTACAAAGCAATTGAAGGCCACAGGGCCTAAGATGGAGTCTGTGGAGTCCCACCAGTGACAGGTCACCAGTCTGATGTCACCCCATTTACTGTAACCCTTTGCACCTGACCCATGAACCAGCTGCTCAACCACCACATGCTCAACCACATGTGTTTATCCAGCTGTGGGCTAGACATTTTGTCCACAAGGATACATTGTGAGACAGTATCAAAAGCCTTACTGAAACCCCAAAAGATTACAGCAACTGAATCCCCTTGATCAACTGGGTGTGATACCTTGTCTCAAAAGGAAGTCAGGCTTGATAAGCAGGACTTTCCTCTCAGGAAGCTGTGCTGGTTGGAACTAAGGGCTGTATTGTCTTTCAGACATATTTCAATTTTCCCCACAATAATATTCTCCACATTTACTAGGCACTGAAGTGAGACTGACAGATCTGTATTCTCATGATCCTTTTTCTTGCCCTTCTTGAAAATCAGGACAACATTCACCAGCTTTCAGTCTGCTGGGACTGCACAGGATTCCCAACACCTCTCAAAAATCGTTGAGCATTTGCAACAACATCAGCCAATTCTTTGACGATTCCTGGATTAATCCCATCAGGCCCTGTAGATTTGTAGGTATCCATCTGTAGCAGCTGATAACTGCACAGTTTCAGGGTTAATGGGAGTTGATAGTTTTTGCACAGTCATGGCCATCCATCTCAGGGCATTGAGATCCCCCTTGTTCCACCATCCATACTGAAGACAAAGGTAAAGAATGTGTTAAACACCTCTGCCTTATCTGTGTCCCTGTTTGTGAGGTGGCCATCCTTATCCTCTAATCGACTGATGTTATTTTTACAGTACCTATTGGATGCCATTTCTAAAAAATTTGTATTCTCCCCATTTCTGGCCAGCTTCAGCTCCAGTTCAGCTTTGGTCACTCAAATTTTCTCCATAGAGTGAAAAGCAGCATCTCTGTGTCACACATGTCATACAACCTTGCTTCTATTGGACATTCATCTTTCTTTTTTTGCCTTATTTCCAGGAGAAGATTACTGTTCTGGCCTTCTGCCTCCCTTGTTTAATTTCCAACATTTAGGAATGTTTCTGTGCCCTTGGAAGGTGATTTTTAAAAACTAACCAGTACTGATGGACCCCAGCACCTGCAAAAACATTTTCCCAGAGACTTTAATTACTAAATTCCTGAACAGTCTGAACTGACAAGTCAGTTCTCCTCATGTCCAGAGTTGAGGTTTTGCTGGCATATTTTGTCCTGTCAACAGAGATTTTAAACTCAATCACTTTGTGGCTACTGAGGCCAAGACAGACACTACTCAGGAGATCCACTCAGTTGACAAGCAGGAGATAAGAGGGCATCTTTTTGAGTCAGCTGTTCTCTCCCTCATGCTTTCCAGAACTTTCCAGTTTTTGTGATAAAATACCAATCTTCAGGGTAGAAAGACTGAAAACTTGAAAGGCTATTTTTTACATTTAATTGCCTATACAGCATGCTGCATTTAAGGTAGGAACCAGTAGGTTTATACTGCACTTCCATGCTCTGTCTGTGCTTTCCTGCACTGGTGAGTGATAGTGAGTCTTGTTTCCTCTTGTAACTTTAGCTGCTGAAAATTTAAGCCGTATGTTTTCTCTCTTCCACTGCAGAGAGCTGTCCTGGAAACACAATAAATTAGAAGTTGCTGTCATGAATGGATTCATCTTCTTAAAAAATATATAATTGTGTACATTAGTTACTGCAGAAGTTAGGAATTTTGTATTGATTTGCCTTCCAGATCTTCCTAATCATTGCAAAGAAAATTTTAAATAAGCTATGATTTATTGGCTAAAAATGTTTTGATTTTTTCCAGAATCTGTAGCAACCCTCCTTTCCCATGACTCAGTAATTCAACACATATTTCTGGTATTATAGCCTAAGCCAATGTCATTTACAGTATTGCTAAACTTGTTTTATTTGCCCTGTACCAGACTCCAATGAAATTATTAAGTTTTTACATAGCATCTTTTTGACTGAAGGGAGAAATCTTTGATACTAGATGTAGTCCATGTTCTTTTACATCAAGTAAAGCACCAAATATTTGTGAACATGGTAAATAGAGAAAAACAACCAACAAATCACAGAATCACAGAATCATGAACTAGGTTGGAAAAGAACTTTAAGATCATTAAGTCCAACACCTTGTCATCAACTAAACCATGCCACTGAGTGTCATGTTGATCTTTTAAACACTTTCAGAGACAGAGACTCCACCACCACCCTTGGCAGGTGATTCCAGTGCCCAATCACTCTCTCAGTGAAGAAGTTTTTCCTGATATCTAACCTAAACTTCCCCTGATGCAGGTTAGACTGCTGGTTCTGTCAGTTGCTGCCTGGGAGAAGAGACCAACCCCTACCTGACTACAACCATCTTTTAGGAAGTTGTAGAGAATGATAAGGTCACTTCTGAGTCTCCTTTTCTCCAGATTAAGCAACCCCAGCTCCCTCACATTCCTCAGCTTGTGTTCCAAGTCCCTCACCAGCCTTGTTGCCCTCCTCTAGATGCATTTGAGCATCTCAACATCCTTCCTAAACTTAGGGGCCCAGAACTGGACCCAGAACTGGACAGGTGTGGTCTCACTAGTGCCAAGTATGTGAACTGTTCTAGGTCTTAAGAACAAGAAGACATTCCTAATGGCAAAATAAGCTATGGTTTTTAGCTATTCAAGAAGATGGATTGACCAAAAATTTATTCTGATTCACCTACAAAATGACACCTGAAACAAAACCTGAAAGTTATGTCAACTGTCTGCTGCTTGTTACCAACAGATAAACATGAGACATCACAAAACTTAAAAGGAAGCTGAAGATATCAGTCTCAGGGCTTTCTGGATAACTGTTGATGTACAAAACACTCGCTCACTGTGAAAGACTTCTCCAGGGTCAAGCTGTTCAGGTATAAGCAGTTTATTACAAGGGTAACGAGAGGGAGAGACCCGTGTCTGCCACCAGCCTCGATGTCCATGTGGTCAGGGGGAGGGGAGAGAGTGAGGGGAGAGCAGGAGAGGTGAGGTTAGAGATGGAGAGGGAGGGATCGAGAGAGCGAGGCTCTTGTTACAATCCATTTTATGCTTTCCTATAGTGAATATTCTAATTCCCAGTAACCAATCACTACGAGACACACCCACTAAAGATTTTACATACAGCCTATAAGCATCACTACATTATCATATAGTTTTGCATTTCAAATTCTAAAAGCTTTACAAATTCTTCCCTTGCTTCTTGACCTTTGGACTTTCTATCTGCAGAAGGACACTGTTTCATCATCAAGGAATCTCTCTCAGTTGGTTAGGCTATTGTTCTTTAGTCATATAGTAACCAACACTCAGCATCTTATGACTCAAAGGAAGCTTTCATTTCTATTTCGATTCTAGGCTTCATACCTTCAGAATCTTTTGTCAAACAATCATATTCATAAGGTTTCCCTGTTTCATCTTCCCCAACAGATAACAACTGTGAATTAGTAGTAAATGTAGTAGAAGTAAAGATTTTGATATGAAGTCACCTTTTATTGCAACTCATCCAAACAATTATCCTCAAAAGTACATTAGATGAAGAAGAATGACTAAGTAGACGTTCATCAGGGGTTCCACATCAACAAAAGTCAAAGTTACCTAAAAAATTCAGTAGGGTTCTAATGTCTTTTGTACATTAAGGCTTGTGACCATTTTGGACAGCTGTGATTTTTTGTTGTAATTCCCCTATTTTCCAATATGATCATGGGATGGATGTCTGTTGTTTCTTTTGTTCTAGGGCAAAGTGTGGTTACAGGTCTAAGCATTTTCCTAGGTACAGAAATTTCCTTGCATTACTGAGACCTTTCTATTAATCTCTCTTGTCAGAATTTATTTAAAATGTTGGGTTTTGTTGCATTTTTGTTGGTTTTGATTTGTTTTTTTCAAAATAAACTGATCCAGTTTTCTGTACCAGTTCATGACAATCTGAGCAAACCATCACCATTATTTTGTGGGCAGGCATAACCAAGGTTTAACAAAATCAGTAATTACTTCTGAGAAGTTAATGTGTATGTGAGAAGTTACCACAGGGACATTCAGTGTCTGAATCTTGTGCTGTAAAGACCAAACTCTTAAACAGCAGAAATGACATGTGGTTGCTCTTGTAGCTGTCACTGCTAACAAAGATCCTTTCACTGGCCTTGTGCAGCCTGTTATCTCTCTTGCTGGTGATCACTGTTTGTGACTCTGCCCTGTTTCTGAAGTGACAGGCTCCATTTATGAATAGATAACTATCATAGTAAACAAGCAATTGATTATCATTTTACTTAATGCTTTTTCTTTATATAGGGGAGTGCAGCTGGTTCATTCCTGACACCCTATGGTGCTCAGAACTAGAGGATGATTGTGATGGCAGCAGAACAAAGCCAAGGTGCCTGGAAACTTCATTGTTGTTAATCAGCAAATGAATAGGAAGATTTAATATATGAACTAGAGAAAAATATCCAAAATAACATAGGACTGTAAAGACCTACTGAGCTATCTGTAATATTACATTACAATGCAAAAATGTGATGGGAAAAAAGAACTTATTTATTCATACTAACTAATTCTCTAATGGGGAAAAAAAATCAGAAAAAATCTGTTTCTCTCCCCCTCCTCAGAAAGTTTTGATAGCATTTAGCTCATTTGATTAGGTGATATGAAATAAATTGTGACTATTGGAGAGAGAAGGTTATGAAGAACTGGAAGAGCATAACAAAATTAGGTGCCTGGGAGGCAGAATGACAGAAGAGACTGTCTTTTGTCAGTGCAAGCAAATGCACAGTAAAAGGGATAATTGTAACTGCAAACATACCTTGAGGGTATGTTCTAAATTAACTGTACCTTTCAGGAAAAAGGATCTGTGCATGAGTCCATGAAATTACTTGCCTGAAACATAGTTGTGCACTAGGAAAACAAATAAGAAAATCAGGATAGAAGAAGGAGAGATAATAAGGATTCCTGTAATTACCTTAACCCTTATGTAATGAGGATAAGAATGAAATATTAAGTATATTACCTATAAAACTTTATTATTATCCTATGTATTTGACACTGATTATCCTATTTAGAAAGAGAATATATAAATAGCATAGGAACATGGCTTTTATTTAGGCTTAAATTTACATATATAATTTATATTAATTAAGTAGAACCTTTTATATCTGAACAGTCATAATTTTTTTAATAGCTGTTTTGTACTGATGAAATTGTACTTACTTATTTGCAGGGAGAAATGTGGTTCCTGGGGAAATATAATGAACTGAGGTGAGGGGAAAATAAAGGGGAATTATAGCAGAGGAAATTGTTCCACTGTTACCCCATTTCTATAGTGTTATTGGAGAAGGTGAACGGATGAGAACATATGTAGCAGATCTCCTTGGGTGCTGTCACATGGTATATACAGGACAACCAGGGGATCAGATGCAGCCAGATGGGTTTATGAAGGGCAGGTCCTGCCTGACCAACCTGATCTCCCTTTATGACAGGGTGACCGGTTTAGTGTGTGAGGGAGAGGCTGTACATGTTGTCTGCCTGGACTTCAATAAAGCTTTTGGCACTGTCTCCCACAGCATTCACCCACACAAAACTGGCTGCTCATGGCTTGGACATGTGTGCTCTCTACTTGGTAAAACCTGCTTGGACTCCCAGGCACAGGGAGTGGTAGGGAATGGAGCTAAAACCAGTTGGTGACCTGCTGAGGCTCTCACTCATGGCTCAATATTGGGGCCAGTCATATTTAATATCTTAATCAACCAAGTGGATCAAGTGCACTCTCAGTCAGTTTGTAGATTATACCAAGCTGGGTGGGAGTGTTGATCTGCTGGAGTGCAGGAAGGCTCTGTAGAGGAATTTGGGCAGTCTGGATCAATTAACGCTATGAGGCTCAACAAGGCCAAGAGCTGGGCCCTGCCCTTGGGTCCCAAAAACCCCAGGCAGTGCCACAGGCAGGGACAGAGTGGCTGGAAAGTGCCCAGTGAAAAAGGAGCTGGGGGTGCTGGTGGCAGCAGCTGAACATGAGCCAGGCTGTGCCCAGCTGGCCAAGAAGGCCAATGGCATCCTGGCCTGGCTCAGCAATAGTGTGGCCAGCAGGAGCAGGGCAGGGATTGTCCCCCTGTCCTGGGCACTGGTGAGGCCACACCTGGAGTGCTGTGTCCAGTTCTGGGCCCTGACTGCAGGAAAGACACTGAGGGGCTGGAGTGAGTCCAGAGAAGGGCAGGGGAGCTGGGGCAGGCTCTGGAGCACAAGTGCTGTGAGGAGCAGCTGAGGGAGCTGCAATTATTTAATCTAAATAAAAGGAGGCTCAGGAGGGACCATATTACTTCCTCAAATACCGGAAAGGAGGTTGTACTGAGATTGGAGTCAGTCTCTTTAAAAAGGAAACACCCTCAAGTTATGCCAGGAGAGGTTTGTATTGGATATTAAAAACGCTTCCTTCATGCATAGGAAGCACTGAAACAGACTGCCCAGGAAATTAATGGAGTCACAATCCCTGTGGATATTTAAAAGACATGTAGCTGTGGTGCTTATGGATATGGTTTAGTGGTAGACTTGGAAGTTTTAAGTTTACAGTTTGACTTGATCGCAAAAGTATTTTCCAACCTAAATAGTTCTATAATCCTATCATTTGAAGGAAAGTTCTGTAGCTTCTTGACTTTTGATTGAATGATGGAATCAACAGTGTTTCTAGTTTAAAAATCTAGAACAGGATAATACAGGTTCTAAAATACAGCACAGAACTGTCCACATCTGCTCTATATGGTCTCCTGGACTTTTTATTTGCAAAGTATTTATTTATGGTACTGCAACTAATGTTGCAGTATCATAAATAAATTTAACTTTTTTAACTTAGTAACTAGATGCTGTTGTGTGTCAATTTGCTCTCTAGAATTTGAACTAATTTACAAGGTTCACTTGAAAATTATGCTAGATTTGATATCCTCCCATGAAAAGCATTTGTGACTGTTCTATATTTTTAAGATTTTACTTTGTTCAAAACAAGTCTCAAAACAGGAAAATCTTTAAGATAATGTTTGAATTTTAAGGTGTATTCTGGGAGTGACAACTGTCAGAGAAATCCAGCCTCTGAATATCAATTTCATTTTGATCAAGCATTACATCCTAAGACTGCAATTTTTTCCATAACTCTGAAGCAGTTATGTCAGTGTGATCACCATCTGCACTAGACACAATTTCTAATCAATGCTATTCTTTTATACTTATTTTCTTGAATGGGAGAAGCCTTTGTTAATCTTATATCACATTGGAAAAAGAAAATTATCTCCCTATGGAGCTCCATCTATCACAAAAGGAAAATAAAATATGAAGTTCTTGGGATATTGCCTTAATTTCTCTATTGGGACATTCATAAAACAAACTGTTACAAGCAGGAGAGAGAAAAATGATAGGACTCTGTCATACTCAGCAAATACCTAGATAACTAATGCAAATGCTACATTTTAATTCAGACTAAAGAACTGATCTTGAAAGAGTTAACATAATCAGTTAACTGTCACAATTTCTGTACGACCAGATTCTGAAATTAGCAATTTGCTGAAGACCTAGGGCTGTACAGTTCTGTCATTCTGTGTAAATTGCAAGGGTTAGCATGTCAGAGTGAAAGAGATGCTCTTAATGTTAATAATACTGTTTTTCCTTCAAGCCATTTCTGAAGTTGAATGAAAGTGCATGACATTAAAAGAACTAACTATGTTGTTTCCAGGTCCTAAAATACAAACCTGACAACCACATTGGAATTCAACCTGTATTTGAATACTTCGTTAGATTTAGTGAAAAAAACAGAGAATTTATGTAGATGTGACTTCAATGTGTTTGGACCCTGATTGACTACTGAAGGAAATCCCTTGCTGGTCTTAGCCTTTTGGATACAACTGCAGGAAGTATGTACCTACACCTTTGTAAGTTGCAGTTTATGTGTTTCAATTTTGTGTCAACAAAATGAAACTATGAAAAGGTAAGGGAGGCCACCAATAAACCAGGACAAGCAATCATTCAGCTCAGAACCTTATCTCTGAAAGTGGATGGATGAGAATTGCTAGAGCAAAACAAAAGAACAAGGACTTTTTTTACTGCTTTGTCTCCCAGCACTGAAATAAATATATTTCAAGAGGCTTAGTGTCTGTGTGTTTTATAGTCTTCTCTTCTTCAGTTTCAGCATCCACCATGTCTTGCCAATTCCTCCACATACGTACAATCTATGAAAACAACTTTCTTATGCCTTTCAAATGGAAAAACTGAGAACTGGAAAAAATACTTTTACCCTGTTGAGGACCGTAGCTTCTCTAATTGAGGGGATCAATCTCAAATTTGGTTGGGAGGGGAAGGGGCATGAAGGAAATGGGCAGAAAATTGCAGCTATTCCCTGCTGTGATGTTTTAGTTTTATTTCATCACTCATGTGGAAAGTTCATCTGTAAGGTAGCGATGAAAGTTTGAGCTCTACCATATATGTGTGCTGGATGCCTTCAAAAGGCAATGGCTTCTGTTATCACATGCTAGGTTTCAATAAGCTGTGCCTCAGAGGTGCTCAGCCTGAGGCATGAAAGTATTGTACACAGCCTGCTGTGACTTGGCTGACCTATCATGGAGGGCAAGGAAAAGACACAATTCTGTTGTACTTGAGGAACTGGAGCACTTTTACTGTAATATCAACCTTTATTTCTCTGAAACAGGTGACCAGCTTTGACAACTCTAACATGAATTAATTTAGTCTTATATTAAGAAAAAGGATACAGACTTTTATCTTATATTAAGAAAAAGGATACAGACTTTTAACTTTGGACTTGCATAAGGCAAAGATAAATATAAAGATATATATTTACCAGGTATTAAATAATCCTGAGCAACAATCTAGGCAGGCACTGACTGCCTCAGCAAGGGCTGTGCAGGACTGGGGTCCTGGGGACAGTGAGATGCACAAGAGCCACTCTGAGGCTGGCAGCAGCAGGGACCATCCCCATCCAGTGCTTCAGCACAGGCAGGAGATCGAGGGATGTGATGGTCCCCATCCACCTGGCATTTCCTGGAACACCACAGAGAAAATTAGCTTTGGTCACCTACAGCTGCAGAGATACAATTAGAGAGTCAAGTGGAGGGCCACGGAGGTAGAACATAGTTGCAGTCTTACAATACCTACAGGGCAGTGACAGAGACAATGGAGGTACTCTCTTCAAAAGAGTACAGGATGACAGGACAAGAGACAGCAGGCAAAGGGATAATTCTATCTCTATATAACACTTTTTTTTCTTGTGAGAAAAATTAAACATTGAAATAGACCTCACAAAGTGGAATCGGTAGGTTTAAGCAATGCGAGAAGTAACCATGCAACAAAATGTTTAGGTTTGATTTGGTTTCTGGTTTTGTTGCTAGAAAAGGGAGAAACGGAAATGAGGCATGAAACCTGAAACTGTCTAGGAGTTGCTTAAGCAGATCTGTGTTTTGTTCCTTAAAGTGGTCTCTTTGTGAAGGAAAGCAGCCAGACTTAGAACTTCTTGTACCAGTTCATATAAACTGGCAGTACAAATATCTATGTGCAATGTTAAGCATTCACTACTACAGATTTATTTCCTATTTCTGGCTAAGTTGCTTAATGTACTGTTAAAAATACAGTTTGGGGTTTTTTTTAGTGTTGGTGGTTTTGTTTTTAGTTTTGAATTTTGTTTGTTAAATTTAGTTTTGTTTTTGTCTTCTAATACTCCACTTCTTGTAGCTTCTGTTCCTTGAGTTAAATCTATTTATCATCACATCCTCAAGTGGACTATAAATGGCAACATTAGTGCTTGCTTGCCTTGATTTTTTTATTTTTTTTTAATTGCCTGAGCTATATATTTGTTTGGGTAGAATAGGTATGATATTTGCATCTATTTAATTTTAGTGCATTTATGTACTTTCTTCCATACCTAGGGATAAGTTCAGATTGGTTTATAGCAATCCAATTAAAAATAAGGTGATATGTTTTCATCTTTCTTGTTTGACATTGATTCACATTCAGTTCACATGAATAGTGATAAATTGCCAACTGTGAAATAAGCAGATACTTCCAATCAGAACATTTTTTATGTAAAATTTAGCACCACTACTTGACTCAGCAGACTGAGGCTTGAATGTGAGTTACAGTGAATTTACATTTCCATCACTGAGTTTGTCCCCTGGTAGCAAGGTTGCATTACTATTTTATTGGCAACATAATTTCAGACTCTTGGGGTATTAATAACACTAGAACTCACTTTAATGTATTTTCAGATAAAAATTCATTTCTAAAAGGCCTCATGACTTTGGGCCCATCACCTGCAAAATACTGGATTATTGCTGTGGTATAGTGAACTGTTACAGCTGAACAGGTAAAAAAAAGTCATAATCAAGAAATCAAACACTTTTAAGGGGCCTTCTCCACACTGCAGATTAACTACAGAGCCTTTTAGTTACTCCACCTGAACAATGTGAAAATGGTCTGGCAGGCAGCATGAGATGCCTTAATTGTCAAATGCTGTACCCATATGTCAGCCATGTATTCCTCAATTTAATAAGTTTACCACCTCATTTGATATTTCCAAACTTATCCTCTGTTCACTATTGCTATCCTCACCCTTTGAACAGTTGAAAAATTTAGCCTGTTTATTTTGGTTTGTCTTTTTTCCATACAAATAGATACCAATTTGATGTCTGGGGAAAAGGTCTGTGTCTAACCATTAGAACAAATGCACTCTGATGAGTATGGAGCAGGAACTGAGTCTAAATCTGTGCGCTCTCAAGGGTACATTGTTGAGTTTCTTGTGGGTCTTGGGTCTTCAAAGAGACAAGAGCAGTTTTTGGTTGTTGTAAAGTTGTTTATTGCATGACTACATCAGTCTCAAAGGCAAAGAGTTCAGAGTATTAAAGTCCAGGCTAAAAGTTTTCTGGCATAGAATCCTGATGTTTTGAGCAGAAGCAGCAGCAGCCCTCATACCTTTTTTCTTCTTCTTCTTCTTTCTTCCTTCTGTTGTTGTTGCTGTTTTCACCCCAATACAGGGCAATTTTATTCATAAATCATTCACTAAAAACACAATTCTAAAACATTCTTCCTACACCAATCTGAGTAGATTCTATTCATTAATTCTAATGTGGGAAAGTAGTGTTCTTACCCAAAATCTACACATGTATTTTTATCTGTTTAGGCAAATAATTCTATCTGGTCTTTCTAGAAATGCAAGCAATGTTCTTACTGTGTTTTTGTCATGTCTGGAGCTAAGTTAATGTTGTAGAAGGTAACACTACTGGACTTTAGGCTTTAGGGATTTTTACTAGCTAACACAGTCTCTTAAGGCACTTAAGATATATTATTATTTACTTAAAACTAAAATTTACATTCCTACTTCATGACTATGGCTTAATATATTTTAGTTTAGCTCTAAAGGCTCCAGTTTAATCCCTGCATTTCCTTCTCTCTCTGAGGGACACGGAGAGGCTTTTGTTTCATGCATTCCAACAGTACATGGCTTTTGTGTTTGAAATCATGAGTGAGCAGGGTAGATTAAACCTGTTCCATCCAGGGGGAATAGGGTGCTGCTAGTGAAGAGAACAAAGTGTAGCCTACATCATGTCAGGGTACATTAATCTAGCCCTGGTTGTTTCTCTAGATGCAATTTTACACCTGGAGAAATAACTCCATTTGACCAAGATGCATGACAAATCTTATTTTCCCAGGTTTCTTCACCCATGTTTCTCAAAGATTAGTCTGAATTCTCCAGGTACCCCAACAGGATACTATTTGCTCCCTGGTTTTGGTTAAGCATTCTTTCCAATATCAAATCCTTATACTTCTCAGGCTGCCTCCACCTGTTACATTTAACCTGCTCTGACATGCAGCCTTGTCAAGTAGCCAGAGTGCTGTCTCCAAGAGTGTTCTATGTATTAAATGTTTTCTGAACACTTTCTTGACCTGTTTTGTTTCTGGACTTAATGGCATTTAAATCTACATATGTTTTTGTTCAATTCCCTTGCCTTATCTGCTCTGAGGGACTGATCCTTCTTCTTTACTTTGCTAACAAATGTAAAAAATTCATTATATGGGTTCCTGTTTATGATTTTTTTCCTTCTAATGCCCACATTACTTGTCCTATTCTGTTTTGAATTATCTTAAGGCTTTGTAATATCTGCTATGATTGTGACTTTTAATTGATCTACTCTACAGAATGTTGATAGCATTATAAAGTACTCCTATTAGTTGTATCTGGGCAAGACCAAAAAGCTGAGATCTGTTCAAGTTGGCTTGCAAGTCCCTCTAAGAAAAACAAACTGGAATATTCTTCTTCCTTGCCCTATGGCCATCATCCCAAAGGTTTTAAGTAGTGTTAACTTCTATTTTTAGGTATTGTCTCCTGATTCTGGAGAGAAGAATTGTGGATTACTGCCACTTTGGATGAATGCTTTAGAAAATGCTGTGATGTATTAAAGCTTTCTAGCCTTCTTTAGGGATGATTTATCTAAATATCCAGTTGCAAATATCACACTGGTTTGTGGAACAATTCAGGCATTCAAAATAATTCTTTCATTTTTTTCAGTTCTTTGCTTTCATAAAGTAAGGTGTTAAAACACAAAATGTGGATCAAATATCACTCCCACATTAAGTGAAAACTCAAGTTTTTTGTAATTTCTCCCCTCTCTTACTATACTTAGGGAGTTCTACCAAACAGATGGGTATACATTAAGAGAAGAAATATAAAGGAGATCAACTTCATTCTGAATTAAGTCATTCTGACCATTAGAATTAGCTAAATATCCTGCTGTTTTAGAATGAGTTTAATGCCAAATGTTTTCCCAACAGATTACATTGCAACAAACTGAAGCTGTCTATGGCTTTCCTAAAAGAAAAATTCTACTGCTGGAAATCTTGGCAGTAACCATGGGAGTTTTTTCAAGAAGGTGCAACCTTCAGGGATCTCTGGTTCTATTGATGCTCCTTGCTTTTTGTGTAAAACCTGTCAGACAACCTCTGCAACTTGCTGACAAACTGCTCCTAATTCTGGCATGTAACTTATAACTGGAACTGGGCAGAAATCATTCTCCCCCATCTCTCTTACTGCCAATACTAAACACT